AAGTTGGAATTGCCTTACAGATCTGACATATTGTTAATAACATTATATTTATTAGCTTTAATAAATATGATTTATTTTTCTTTGTCACATGGTTCCTTATTCTAGACATACAGTATGCTTTGAAATTCCAGATGCTAAGCACAGCTTTCTAGACATCACAAAAGGACTGTTTTAGTTAGAAATACGGCTGACGTCTATGCTGCCCAGCAAGGCCTTCTTTTCATTAGGTGGGCCAATTACAGACATGTGAAAAAAGATGCCTGATTCAACAAACTACTAAAGCAACTGTAAACACTTTACATGTAACATGTGCCTGGAAGTCAGCATTTGGGCGGGAGAGTTAGAGGCAGAAGCTCATCTAGGCGATTATTTGTCAGTGTTGGTGCTGGGCCTTATTTCTCCCTGCCCCTGGCTCCTAGAGAAACACACAAGGATACACACACACTCACATACTTGATCCCTCTTGACATGATCCATGTTAATAAAGCAAACCCAACTAATCACTACTTTTGGCTGTCTTTCCAGTACTTCCTGACTAAAGTTCAGGATTAGAAATTGGTATGGTATAAAACCGTGTCACTAAGAAGCTTCCTACTTAGAAAATACTTGTGACTTTTCTATAACTTTCAAATGTCAAAAATGAACCTGTAAACCAAAACAAGATACTACTTCAGATCCACTAGAATGGCTATGATAAAAAAGATGGACAATAACGAATGTTGGCAAGGATGTGGAGCAACTGGATCCCTCATACACTGCTGGTGGGAATGTAAAATGGTGCAGTTGCCTTGGGAAACACTGATAATTCCTGGAAAGGTCGAAGAGAGTTATCATGTGATTCAGCAATTCCCCTCCTAGATATGTAACGAAGAGAACTGATAACACATCTACAAAAAACTTGCACACAAGAGCTCACAGCAGCATTACTGACAATAGCCCAAAAGGGTAAACAACCCAAAAGTCACCAAACGGATGAATGGATCACCAAAGTGTGGTACATGCACGTGGAATATTATCCAGAAACAAAAAAGAAATGAAGTAACTGATACATGACATATGGGGGGCATATCAATGGCAAGAATAAACCTTGAAAACATTATGTTCAGTGAAAGAAGCCAGACACAAAAGGCCACAAAGTGTAAGATTTCATTGATATAAAATGTCCAGCGTAGGCATAGCTACAGGGGCAGAAAGCAGAGCAGTGGTTTCCTGAGTTGAGGGAGGGTACCGAGGGGTGGCTGCTGATGGGTATGTTGTTTCTTTCAGGGGTGATAAAAATGTCTTGGAATTAGAGTGGTGATAGTCATAGAATTTTGTGAATCATTCAAAACCCTTGTCTTGTTCACTTTAACAGGGTGGATTTGATGGTATGTGAATTACATCTCAATTTAAAAAATGAACCTGTGTGAGATATATGTAATAAAATTAAAACATTATAGAAATACATAGAAATGAAACTTTCCCCTATACTCCTTCTCCCCAACTTTGCCTCCCATTTTCAGTCAAACTAAGACTTTGTTATGCAAAGTGTTACTTTTGTTACTTCTTATGACCTATTCATTTTTTCATCATTGGAAGAAAAAAAAATTTCCAAACTGACTTTTTATGTAAATAGCAAACCCAGAAGTCATAAAGAAAAGAATGGATAACAACTACATAAAACTTAAAATTTTCTATATAGAAGAAGATACCATAAGTTAAAAAAAACCCTGGGAAAATATAGAAAACATTTATCAGAAAGGGTTAATATTCCTATATTAAGGATTCTGTACACTGATTGAAAGACAACACGAAAGAAAAATGGACAAAGATGTCAACCTCATTAGCAGTCATCCTTTTTTTGCCCATCACATTGGCAAAAATTAAAAGGATGGATCACTCCTACTGGCAAGAACAGGAGGAAATTGCTGAAGGATATGGGAATTGCTACAGCCTTTGGGGAGAGTAGTTAGGCAGTATTTAATGAATGAGCATAACCTTTAGCCCACTTAAGGAACTCTAACCCATAAAAATAAAAGCACCACTACTAAATATCTTCACAAAAATATTTATTGCAGCGTTTATAAGAGGGGAAAAATTGGAAACAACTGGAATGGCTGCTGAGAGATGATAGATGAGTAAATTGTGGTTTATGGGACTGAAGGATGTTAAAGAAGCCCCACGTGATGGACCTAGAGGCATGTACACAGGAGACAGCTGTGTGGAAAAGCAAGTCACTGAGTAATTATTCTGTAAATGCCATGAAAATAAAACCCAAGCCTCTAGAGATGTGGATATGTGTTTGTATGTTGTTGTAGGCACAGAGAATTTGGTGGGTCAGGAACTGGGTATGCTGTTTGATTATTTAAAAAAAAGAAAGTTTAAAAAGCTGACTGTTGATAAAGGACAGTATTGTGCTAACTTAAGCTTTCTTCAGCGCTAGGGAATCATTAGAAAGGATGAGAGAGGTCAACACTGATGAGATGAGAGAGTTAACAGGGCAGAACTTGAACATCTTAAAGTAGGCTAACACCTCTTCTGATTGAACATTTCGGCTCCTCACAGAGTACCTGCAGTACTGGACAGGTGCCTGGCTGGCGGTGAGAACTCTTTCTGGCTTTTGACTCTGATCTCTCCTTGGGAGAGAAGTTACCTGGACCTTACACAAGAGCAAACTGGGGCAGAATCAGCCCAGTACACGTTGGATTCTTCTGGAGCAGTGCAGGGAAATGAGTTATGAGTCACGTTGTAAAGGATTTGCCTTCAATGTTATTACAGGGCACCATACTCCCACCAGGGTCAAAGGAACTCCCGTAAGCAAGTGATGAACTCAAAGATGAGCAGTGATGATGAGTCCCCGAAACAGTTCTTGGGAAACCTAATCTCCTCTACTCTAGGAAAACTAAAACGTCAAACTGGGAAAAACCTTAGCTTTCCTGTATCGATCCTGTCCTAAATGTACTACCAAGAGGGGTGAAGTGTGATTTCTGAAATAGCATAGAACTTTGGTAAATGTCACTTCTTCCACTATTTAGATATGCAAAAACCCTAATAAAAAAAGGTAAAAATTAAGTACTTTTTAAAGCAGTGGTATTTTTCAAGGGGAGATTAGTCCTGTTCATGACTATTTTTATAGGTTGAATGACTCCTCCTTTAAACTGATTCATGTAGAAGTGAAAAGCTCTAAGACAGACGAAAGATGGCTCAAACATAAGAAAAACCATGGGCTCTTGTTGGTGGCATTTAATTCCAAGAAGTGGCTTTCAGCTCTCTTTTGGGATAGTAGAGAAACCACAGAGCTTTATCTGAAACGGACAGTTCCTTGAGCATGTGCAAATGTCATAAAAACACAGCCCCTTTAGCGTAACGGCAAGGCTCCTCTTGAGGGAGAGACAAAAAACAAAGATTTGGAGGCTTTTTGTTTTTGTGACACCAATCCTTGGCGAGACTAAATCACTATGTGGACGAACCAGACCCAGTGACGAGGCCTCAGCATCGGGGGCGCCTATGGAAAGCTTCAGGGGAAAAGAAGACAACCTCACAAAAGTGATCGGAGGGAAAGGAGTGAGTGAGGGGGGAGAGCACAACCTCTGGCTGTTCTCACAAGACTGCTGGTCTCTGAGGCTAGAGACACAGACGGGCCTCTGGCTTGGCACAAGCTCCCACCCAAACCTGAGGGGATATGGTGTAGTTGAGTAGAAATAGTTCCCATTCAAATTGCCTTTACAATTTCTTTTAAATCAATTAAAGCCTGCCTTTCTCCATTTTTTGCCAGGCAAAAAGAAGAGAGGGCTATCCAGCAAAGCAAGGCAGTGACCACAGGTTATTTCTGCAGCTGGCACGGCGGGCTTTGGAATCTATTTTCAAAACATGCCCCAACTAAAGCCTCGGGTGCTTCTCGCCAAGCTTGCAGAGACAGCCTGTGGCTCTGTGAAAAGCCACCTCACCCGTGTGGCATTTCCGCTGCCTGGTGGGGTTAGCATCCCTGCCCTACTAGAGGCTGAGATCCAGGGAGCGCAGGCCTCCTGCGGACCACGCTTCGTCTCCCTCTGTCTCTTTTGAATAAGCAGCTCTGAAGAGGGACTTCCCACTGGATGCGCTCACTCTAGGTCCAGAGGCAGGTCTGAGACACAGGTGGCAGTCTCAGGCTGGTTCCTGGTCACCAGGTTAGGCCGTGCCAGATTGTGGCACAGACTCCCTCATCTCTTCCCAGGGGCCTCTGAGGTGGTGGGGTGAGGGGAAACATACGGGGTGTCTGTTCTTTCTCTCCTGAGCCATGTGAGTCGTGTTGACAATGTGGCTGGTATTGCTCCTGCTCCCTCTCCCAGCGTTGGTGAGACATGGATGGAGCCTGGCAATTTTTACCTATAAAGTACTTTGCTCTCGGGGTGGACCGAAACGGGCACTCAACCCCACTGCGCTCCAAAATAACTCACCATTTGTGGGGAGCCTGGGAAGTGGTATGTTATTAAATTATGTGTGACTGATTACGGTGCTTCTGCAATGACCCTGAGCCCAGAAGGGATGGTGAGCTGTCCATCTGCACGGGTTGGCCCCAGGGTCTTCTGTTGAAAACTTAAAGGGTGCTAGAAAAGCATTTGTTTAGTGTGGATCTATCTAGTTTTAATGGGTTTTGAAAGTGTTTCTATATTTCCCTTTACACTGAAGGGGTGAGGAGCAAGGACGAAGGTGATGGGCACAGCATCCGTTCAGAGCGGATGGAGAAGGAGCAAGGGAGGTCTGAAGTACCCGGGCATGCTTTCATGCTTTTTTTCAATAAGCAGTTTGCATCTGCTGGTTGACTATTAAATCTAGGTAAATTTCAAGTGCTTTCTAGGACAAAAGTGATTAATTTGGAATCAGTTTGAACCATCCATGAACAGGGGAGGCAGTCCCTTTACCGTAACCTTTAATCTTGGCAAGTAAGAACACTCTGTGAGTGGTGGGGAGGGGGGCAGGGAGAGTCCAGATAAAGGACTGAGAGAGTGGATGACATGCTTGAATTTAGGCGGGTTCCCTACCTCCTGGCCCCTGTCCTGCACAGGACACGACTCACTGTCTGCTTCCGAGAACGATCCGGATTCGTCACTGGAGTTGGTTCCGTAAGACTGCTCACATTTAATTTGGGGTCGGACTTGGTTGTACATTCCATCTCCCATCAGGCCTGGTTCCTGATGTTCTGTGGCAAGGAATCTGGCTCCCTGGGAACAGGGTGAGGAGGAGAACTCACAGAGAGGGAGGCTGCAGGGCGAGCCCCCGCTCCCGTCCTCCGCGTAGGAATAGGAGGAGCACGAACTGGAAGTCCTGGTCCTGGTCTCCAAGGGGGGCGAGCGAGGGCAGACCTTGATTGGCACCGGGCAGCTAGTGTTGGGCCGCATCCTTCCTGGCAAGTGGTCGGCCATCAGCCCACCGTGGGGGTAGGCCTGCGAGCTGGGGAGGGACTGGCCAGCCCCCACCCACAGACCCTTTGGCACCGGCTCAGAGAGGTCTTTGTCCAGACTGCTTACCCCAGAATACGAATGCACCGAAGTGCTCACTTGGTCACAAGCGCTCGAGGAGAAGATGACACTTCTCCGGTCCAGCTCTCCTTCCTGCTTACAGAGAGCCTCCACCCCAGGGCCCTTGAGGGGCGACCCCATCGGGAGGCTGGACGCATCCTTCTGGCCCCCGTGGGCCTGTCCATAATTCCCCGCGAAGGGGGCGTAGTCAGTTTTAAGGTCACCCTGAGTGATGCCCTTGTCGAAAGGGCACGCGGAACTCCTGGCAAAGTGCTGCTGAGATGTGCCGGGCAGGCCAGACAGCTCCGCACTTTTTGTTACGCTGAACAGAGACCTCAGGCAGGAGGGGGAGGCCAGGGTCCTGGACCTCTCCAGGCAGGCGGCCCCCGAGGGGGGCGCAGGGGCGGGCGCGGGGCTGGGCTGCTTCCGGTCCATTTCCACATCCCCCGCTCGGTCCTTGGCGTCAGGCTCGTCCCCGGACAGGCAGAGCGTGATGCTCTCCTCCTCGTTCTCCTCACTGGGCGGCTCGCTTTTGATCTGCCCCATGGCGAGCCCGGGCTTGAGGCTGTGGCCAGAGCTGTCCTCACCGAATGTGCTTGCGAAACCTGAGGTACTGTGTGAGGATGCATTGTAGACATTCTTGGTACATGCGAGCTGGTACTTCTTGTATCGCGGGTACTGCGTCAACGCGTCCTTCTCGGAGCTCTCCTTGGTGTCCGTGGGCCCGTCGGCCTCGGGCGCCAGCAAAGCCTCTTCCTTCTGGGCTCCCGGGATGGCCGTGGGCTCGAAGCTGCCGGGGTGTGGGAGCGGCTGGTCCCTGGGGCAGGCCATCTTGGCCGTCTCCGACTCCATCGTCTCCTCCTCTTCCTCCTCCTCCTCCTCCCCCGCCGAGTTCTCATGGTCCTCGTGGGGGCGCGGGCAGGCCGTGTCCTTGCGGCACACGAACAGGCCATCCTCGCTGTTCAGCAGCTGGGTCTGCAGGAAGCTGAAGCAGGAGTCCTCCAGGTTGTGCATGCGCAGGAACTCGGCGCAGCGGATGACCTCGCGGATGTTTTCCCTGCTGAGCAACAGCTTGGCGGTGTAGGCGAACTGCAACAGCGGCCCGAAGCCCCTGGCCGTGACCTGCAACACAAACAGGGAGAAGGGCCGTGAAGTCACCGGCAGCACCGCTATTGTCCCGAATCCCTCAACTGAAGCAAGATAACCAGACGGGGCTAATGTCCCAGAACAAAGACTGCAAAGGAGCAGTTAATCTGTCCTGGGTCGGCAGTGATTCTGCGTCCGATAATTAGCGCCCGCCTCGCGCATGCGGCTGCTGGGTGGATTGCATCGGCGGCGCACAGAATTGGAAATCACCAGGGTCAAGTGGCTGCACAGGACGACAACGGGTTCAGTGTTTGCACTAATGAAATATCCCGGCGAGGATGCACGGGAACAATGGGACGCCTATTAATTTCCCTCCCAGTCGGCCCTGCGGAGAGCCCTTCTGCACCAGGAGTGCGCGGACACTTGCTGCAGCTGCCTGGAGCCCAAGACGGCATTCCAGGTGGCTTGTTAACCGCGCAACTGGCAGTGTGGCCTGTTCAAAACGGAAAGCCTGTAGGGTTTCAAAATAGTTTTGCCTCACTTACAAGTTCACAGGAGACATTAAAAGCAAACTCCCATTTTGCTCATTCATCATGGCTTCTAGTTGGAACTTTTCAGTCATCACGTCATACCCGATCCTACAATGATACTGGAGATGATGACAATCTAAAGCAGTGTTCGCAGCAAGAAATCAACTCCCAGCCCGTAAAGAATGGGGGTTACAGGACTCAACAAACTGGCTGTCATTTGGAAGGTTGAAGCTGCTGAGTGGCACAGGACCTGGGCTAGTCCTTCCCTCATTATAAGCAGCAGCTTTGCCGCGCAGCTGTCTTCTCTCCTGGTAAACTGTCATGTGCTGCTCATCCATTGTATTTTACACAGATTGAAAATGTGCTATTTATGCACACACACAGAAAATAACTTAGATAATTAGAAATACATTGCCCAAGGCCAATTGTTTTTCTCCCCGATGGAAGTGGATTAAACTTGCTGGTATCTGGGGCAGGCTTCCTTACCCTCTATGCAAAACCAGGCATCCTCGAGGTTCTTGCAAGCACTGCTGACCCCATTGGGAGGGGCGGCAGTCTACAACTTGTGATGTACAAATCAGGTAAAAGAAGCCATTGTACCAGTGATTTAAAAATATCTGCTAGGGGAATAGGCGTAGAGCAAGAGGAACTGGCAAGCTTTGTGACCGACTTCCACATGTATTACATTCACCACAGCACACAGAGCCAAAACTCTTATGAGGACTTATATCTGCTGATCACAGTTCGACTCTGACATCAGCTCCTCTGGGAGCCCTCTCCAAACCTTCTAGACAGAAGGACTGACACACCCTCTCAGCCCCACAGCCAGAGTGAGGCATGTGGATCCCCAGGGCAGCACTGGTTTTATATCGCTGCATTCTTTCTTGTAAGGGAAATTTCTTAGATACATAACTGAGTGGGATTTTAATTGTTAAGAAGTTTGAAGGACTTTAAACAAAATACCAGATTAAAAATTCTCTGTCATTAATGAGTCCTGAGATATTTGGTTAAAAAAGAAATACAACAAAAACCGTGACTGTTAGCCCCACATTAGAGCTCTACAAGGGCAATCATTGCCATCTCAGTTCTGTTATACTTAATTGGGTCTGTTTCTACCATAAGACAGCAAGGTTCTTCAGATCATGGATTGTTTCATTTCTCATTGTAACTCTGCATCTAGCTAGGGTCTCTCGAACACGATAAACGCCTGAGAAAACTTGTATATTACTGAGTATGTCATAAGTCTAAGTGTGCCTGTAACATACAACTACAGAAGCTGACAACACTGCTTGGTAAGTGTTGTCTCAAATTATGTTTGGGGCAAGGCATTGAGTAAACCAACATACCAACCCTAACCAATGCATACAGGCAAGAGTCCCTATTTGTCCAGTCCCCTAGAATTATTATTAAAAAGGAGCTCATCTAACCTACAGTTTTGTGGTCTACTAAGCTGACATCATAATAGATTCAATAAATGTAATACTGTTCTATTGCCATTTCTCTTAGGAACCTTTAAAAGGGATGCAAGACAAAGAAGTGCGTATTTATAAGTAACCAAAGACGGCAACGAGAATGTCACACGGCCAGTTCCTCATTGTAACATAGCTCCACCACAAAGAGAGGAATGGCAGAATCAAGGCGGGGTGACCCTCCGTAAGTAAGCATCTCTGCTCTGTACCTCGGCGATCTGCCAGAGGCTGAGTGGATAATGCACATTTTTAGTTTTGGCAGATGTGCTCACTATACGGGAAATGGGGAAAACTCATCTCAATGCTATTTATGTTTTCTGTACAGACCTCCTCATACTCTCATTCTTACCACCATTTCTCTTTTATTTTGATGCTCTTAGTCTCAGTAGGCCCCACCACCACCCACCACTGTGGTTGCTTTTAAAGATAATTCTTAAATAAGTCAGAGACACCCACAGGGATCGCTGGATCGGTCCTAGGCGTCACCACTTGTCTCATGGCTGCAAGGAGCTGGAGTAAGCTTCCCCACTCAGGGAAGAGCTGATGCTTCAATGTATGAGTTGGATGGGGATGCTAATGAGCACAGTCTCCACATCCCAAATCAAATCACCACTGCTTTTGGACTTAGGAGAATGATGAGCTTGAAGTGATTGTCAGACGGTCATGAAAGAGTCATGAATAAAAACAGGGCTATAAACTGTCCTCCAAGCCCAAGGTCAGGGGAAATGGTGCCCTCACCATGAAATTTTAAGAGTTAGTCCATAACTAGCTCTCCTCCCACAAGGGTTTAATCCTGCTTTGTCATATTCAATTGCTCAGCTTCTGTGTGCAGGCTCTGTCTAGTGAGTCAAAGTACTCATTCACCAAGCACCTCCTGGGGCCCAGCACTTTGCTAGCTGGTTCCTGTAACACCCTGAAAGGCAGGCATGATTGCCTTTTAAAAATATGTTTTTATTGATTTCAGAGAAAGGAAGGGAGAGGGAGAGATATAGAAACGTCCATCCGAGAGAAACATCGATCTGCTGCCTCGTGCATGCCCCCTACTGGGGATCGAACCTGCAACCGGGCATGTGCCCTGACCAGGAATTGAACAAGCAGCCTACTGATGCATGGGATGACATCAACCAAGTGAGCCACACTGGCTGGGCTGCCTTGTTTTGTAGTCAAAGAAACGGAGAAAGAGGTGAGGGAATTCATCCAAGGTGATAGAGCTGGGATTCCAATCCTAGAGCTGTGAGGAATGGATAAGAACAAGACCCAGCCATATGCTCATGAAACCTACAATTCAGCTTTGTAGAAGAGGTATCAAACAATGAAAGTTAACTATTAAGTCACAATGTAAGTCAATGGTGGAAGGGTTCTCACAAAATTACATAATTAATTGTCAACTGAGAAATCCAGAGCAGCTTCAGGAGATGAGGAAAGTGCTGAGGTCCAGGGGGAATCCCGTGAACACTGGTGAGCAGGACACTGGAGTGCAGTGAATTCCCGCTGCCAATGTCTGCTCTGGGTCACAGCTTGCTTTGAAACAACGGGTACCTTCTGAACTGCCACAGGTGTCCCTCCCCGGAACCCATCTCTGGTGCACCTAGGCCAGCTGTGACACCTCCAAGTGCACAAAGCAGAATGCAATTTGCCATCATACCTGCAGGCAGAGGCTTTCTAAATATTGGTTTAGCTCCATCTTGAGTAGGTTACACTATCTTTCCATTTTTAGGACTCATTAAACTCACCAATTATATTCCTAAAGCAAATGTGAAGCCATAAGCTATATGTTTATGAAACTGTGACTACAAGTCAGCCTTGTTATTTACTTTCTATTTTTTTTTTTTTAACAAGCAAGGCTCTGATAATGGGAAAAAATAAGAAGGGATGGGTGGTGGAGAATCTTCCACAAAACTAATGACCCATGAAAATGTTATTTAAAAAGGTAATGATCAGGAAGTTAAAGTGGAATGAAGTGGACTAGAAATAGCACACTAGTTTTATCTCACTGATGTTAATGGAACTGTGTTCCACTGTTGTAAGGGAAGCAGACATATCTAGGCTAAAATTTACTAGTCAGAAATGGCCTTACAGGCATGATAAACAAATCCTAAATACAGTATTAGTGACAACTTGGGAGAACAGTCTTGCATTTTGAATGAACTATTTTGGATGGATCGTGTTGAAGAGTATTTTTTCTTAAACACATAACTACCTGGTTCCATAATATGCTCTAGATGAGGCTGAATCACACACTAGAGTTAGAAAGGAGTGTGCATGGGGGGCTAAGACCTCGGAGAGGTCTTGGTTGCTCCCAAGGAGGTAATGAACTCATCTGGGAGTCGGCACACGCAAGGCAAGTGGCACTGACCTTCAGGTTTCAGGCCTGCAAGAAATCAGGTCAGACTACCAAAGTCATGCATGATGGTGGGAGTCCACATGCTGCTAATGTGTTGAAAATTTGACCCAGTGAAATGATGGCCCTAATCCTGTATTCCCTTGGGCTGTGAAGTATCATCTCGATGCTGTTGATGGAAGGAAGATGAACTGATGAAAACTGAACTGGCAGGGGGCACGTTTGGGTGCTGTTGGCAGAGCTGGGGCACTCATTCTCAGGAGGTGCCCAGTTTGCTGCTGGACAGAGCTTATGAAAGGGAACTTCTAAGTCTCATCTTTCTGGACTATTCAGGGATCAAGCATTGGGAATTTTTATGAGACTTGGAACAGCATCCCCTTCTTAAGCCATGTGATTAAGATCTCCTCAGTTGGTTCCGGCAGTGTAAACACACGGCTGTAGCATTGAGCCATCTGCAGATGGCTGATCCGACAAATCAGGAGATCTGGTGGCTGCTCCCAGGAGAGAGGAGGCACACTTCTCAAGGTCCCTTAATTATATCCTTACACGACGGGGAACCTTTTACCCTCAGCAATACCATGCACATTCCCTGATGAATTGGGATCTCTCCTACACCGACTTTTTATTATTATTATTTTTATTAATTTCAGAGAGGAAGGGGGAGGGAGAGATAGAAACATCAATGATGAGAGAGAA